CTCCCGCAGCGTGCACAGCCACCACAGCAGCTTCAGCTCCCGCTCCCAGCAGGTGAGCCCCAGCTGCACACACAGCCTGACCCCTGCTCTGCTGGCCCTCCAAAAGGCAGGGATTATCCCAAGCCTGTGATACTGCAGGGGAGGATGGTGGATCTGTAATCCCACTGGCCCAAGTCTCATTCTGCACCCACTTTGTGCTCACCCTGTTAGGCTGTGCTGGGGAGACCAAACCTTTCTTGGCCCTTCTCTCTCTAAGCTTTCCCTCTCTCCCCCTTCTCCCTCAGAAACCAAGCAAACACCAAATAGAGATCCAAAATTTCATCATGTTGCGATATTTGATGGTGCTGGGAGATCGATTAGGGCATCATTGATGATTTTCAGGATTTGGTGGTTTTTACAAAGGTTGAGGGCCATTGATTTTTTCTGTATGTGGATATGAGGATGCCCAATAAACCCTCATTTAATCAGCACCCCCAGAATCCATGTGGAGTCTCCTTGCCTGCCTGCTGCCACCAGTGAACACATAGGGCTTAGCACGGGGAATGAAATTTTTTTTTTTAAACTTTCATAAGCTAAGCCTGTTTAGTGATATACTTTTGAACTTAATGCACTTGTAAGGAGAACTTTAAGCAAAATCAGCACTCAGCTGTGCAACTTGCCATACACACAGAAATGGAAAATTTCCTTTACTTGAATCCATGTGCTGTTTGTGAGAACATTGCCTTCCCTCTGCTTGCCTGTAGTGTGCCTGGCTTTGAGTCATGTCATTTTTCTCATCACAAGCTTGGCTGTGTTACTGAACTTAGTTAAAGGACTAACTCTGTATTTGTATGATGTTATTTTGCCTTTAAAAGCAAAAACCAAAGCTAACTGATTACTCATCCACTTACACCACAAATACAGATATGTGAAAAGCTCAGAAAATATTTGGCTAATTTTTGAGGTACAATTTTTGCTCATCTAATGGGTCATTTTACCTATAGCTGCTTCATTGTGTTTCTTAGAAGTTTATGTACTTTTCCAGTCCAAAGTCCAATTCAGTAATGTTTGAAGCAGTATTGGAAATCATTTAGGCATTAATCTTCAGGCACCTGCTGTCATTTGACATTTGTTGGGTTTTTCAGTTGGGATTTTCTGTCTGTTACAGCAGAGGTGAACATTCATTCTGACCCACAGTTGTTGGTAACAGAACTGGTGCTATAATCTTAACTTTTCAAACAAGCACATAGAAATTCTGTTGTGAGAAAACTGAATATGCTTGGACGTGAACAGATCAAACGATGGTAAAAACACTGGGGGAGAAAACAAAATGATCAATTACCACAGAAGGGTCTGCCAGGGGGTGCTTTCTGCAAGGCTGTGAGTGCAGTGCTGCTTGCTGTGTGTAACCCCAGCTAACCTGGCTGCTGTGCCCTGCCTAGAGCCAGCTGTACAGGAGCAATCACGATCTCACTGCCTACGAACCCCCTGCGCAGGCAGTGCACGCAGATTATCCCTACGGAGCCTACGAGCCCAGCTTTGATGGACAGCAGCCCTTCCCAGACTATGGCTACCCTGCTGAAACAGCCTGGTCAGCTGTGGAACAAGGTATGGACACTCTGGGCAATGAGGGAAAACATTGTGCTGTAGATACAAAATGTTTTCTTTGGAAAAGCTTTGCCAAGGTGGTGATGTCAGTTTAGCTCTTTGAAGATGTTATATGGTTGTACAGAGATGGCTGGAATGTGATGCTGTCAAAACCCCTGCATTGAAAAAAATAACTGGATTTTAAAGTTCTGGAGTTTAGTTATTGCAAATCTTCAGGTTTGGGACTTTGGGATTATAAAGGAACTGATTGTTTCTTACAAAGTTCAGCCAAATTCAGTAACAGGGTGTTTTTCACTAACACCACAGCATTATTGAATTGGGTAAATGCATCAGCAAGTTTGCTTAGCTGCACAGCAGATTACCTGTTCTTATTTTATCTTTTCTCCCCATTTCAGCACCTTTAAGGCCCTCAACACCTGAGAAATTTTCAGTGCCTCATATCTGTGCCAGGTTTGGCCCTGGGGGCTTCTTAATAAAAGCACTGCCAAACCTGCCTTCTGAGGGTCAGCCAGCTCTGGTTGAAATCCACAGCATGGAGGTAAAGTTTAGAAGGAAAAATGGGAAGTATTGGAATAAAGGTCTTTCTTTTGGAAGGGAAATGGGGAACTTGAATTTATTACTTCCTGATTTCTCTTTTTTTTATGTCAGTGCATGTATCTTTATCTGTTTGGGCTGCAATCATAAGTAAAACAGTAAATTTAAAAGTTCCTTTCCTCTGAGAGATGACTTAGTCATGATGAGATCATCCAGCTCCTTATAATTTTGTTCAGGAAGATGTACAGAGTAATTGCATGTAAAGTAGATTTCATAATTTATCATCCTTATGCAGGTTGTGACAAAGTCACCCTTTAAATTTTGCTTAAGAGGCTTGATTACATGATGGGTCATGTTCAGCTCTGGGGGTTTTATCAGTGAAAAGCAAAATTTCGAGTTACAAGAATTTCTTATGGATGATATTTGTGTTTCAGACTATGTTACAACATTCTCCAGAGCAAGAAGAGATGAGAGCCTTTCCTGGTCCCCTTGCTAAGTATGTCCCTACAGTTTTCAGAAATAATTTTCATACTTTCAGAAATTACTTCTTCATTGCAAATTACAGGATTTAAACTGACTTAAAATATTTGTGGCTTTTCACCTGCTTAAATAATACATGAGCTTTAAATTTATTCCTCAGAGTAATTACAGATAATGACCTGAATGTTTACATTTGTCTCATTAAAAACTTTTTTCTTATTTTTTTCTCAGGGATGAGACCCATAAAGTGGATGTTATTAATTTTGCACAAAGTAAAGCTGCACAGTGCTTTAAGAATGAAAATTTAATTGACAAAGAATCTGCAAGTCTTCTTTGGGACTTCATTGTACTGCTGTGCAGGCAGAATGGGGTATGTCTCACTGCTGGAGTTTTTATTTATCCTTGAGTGTTTTGTACACAAATAGTTTTTGTGCAAAGATCTGGAATTTGTGTTCTAGATCAGTGGATCTTGGAATATGGCACAGACTGAAGGAATGTGTAAACTGGGCACTCACCCTCAGAGGTGCTGATATTCACATATTGCTGTTGAAATGCCAAATAAAATGCAGGCAGTGTTGAAATAACAAAATTTTCAATTTTTGTTTCCTCTCCACACACACACACAGACTGTTGTGGGAACAGACCTGGCTGAACTTCTGCTCCGAGATCACAAAACAGTGTGGCTTCCTGGCAAGTCCCCTAATGAGGCAAATTTGATTGATTTCAATAATGAGGCTTTGGAACAAGTGGAAGAGGAATCTGGTGAAGCCCAGCTTTCATTTCTCACTGATAATCTTGTAACCATGGTTGACAGTTTTGAGAAGGAAACTGAGAGATTCAGGGAGTTGCTGCTTTATGGCCGTAAGAAGGTGAGTGCCTGTGCTGCTCCTTATTTTTGTAGTGCATGCAATATTTTGTGACACTGATACAGAAATTTATACCCTACAGCTCATAATCTAAAACAAAATGATAGTGTGTTAGCTTTTATCTAAACATATTTTGATTTGATCACAAATCACTACTGTAAAACTGGTTTTTGTGAGTAATATGTGAAGCTAATCCCAGGAAATTCATTTGTGTGTTTATTAGGATGCTTTGGAGTCTGCCATGAAGCATGGCTTGTGGGGTCATGCTCTGCTCCTAGCCAGCAAAATGGACAGCAGGACACATGCAAGAGTGATGACCAGGTACTGGGTTGCTTTTTGATTAGTGAAATTTGGCTGCCTGTTCTGCTAATGAGGTGGAGAATTCAAAATCATGGGTTATCCATAGTAGTTCATGCAAGATTTATGCTTTAATTTTACTTGTGTATTTATTTGTTAATTATTCCTTTTTATTGTGGGGTCTTCTGGCTATAAGTTTAGACCTGAGTTGTTCTCTGCCACCTGATCCATTTAAGGAGTATTTGAACAATGTCATCTGTGATCTTGCTTGGAAAAAAACTACAAAAACTTAACTATCAATTTTGTTAATATATTACTGGTAATATTTTACTTTTGAACATCACCCACTGGGTAATTTCCTCTTCAATGTAGTATTTTCACACAGCACTTCCTTCTCTTGAGCTAGGTTAGATTAATTGCCACTGAGAGCTGAAATACATTTTAACTGCTTACCCCACGTCTGTGTTTTGTTTTTCTCTGCAATGTCTCTGTAGGTTTGCCAACAGTCTCCCAATTAATGACCCTCTGCAGACTGTTTACCAGCTCATGTCTGGGAGGATGCCAGCTGCATCCACGGTAAGATTCACTGGGAGCTGCAGGGAGGAGTGGAGTTCCCAACAGAAATCCTTCCCAGAATGTCAGAGAAGTTGTTCTGATTCTTTTAACCATGCAGAGCTCCAGTCACTGGCTTGACCTGGTAATTCTTCTCATTTTAGTGCTGTGGAGATGAGAAATGGGGAGACTGGAGGCCTCATCTAGCAATGGTGTTATCCAACTTGACCAATAACATGGACTTGGAATCCAGGACCATTGCAACCATGGGAGACACTCTTGGTAATTCTTGGGGAAATGAAGGGTGGTGACTGAAGGAAAAGCTTTGCTTGCTCAGCCTATTTTTTTTGAAAACAGGCAATTTCTTTATAAAATATAAATTGGAGCAGTTCTGTATGGGCTTGTCTCTATTGTGAAGGCATTTGAATGCAAAGCCAAACAATACAGGACACTGAATGTGCCACTGGAATATCCTGAGCTCTGACCTTTGTTTCTCTACAGCTTCTAAAGGCCTGTTGGATGCTGCTCATTTTTGTTACCTTATGGCCCAAGTTGGGTTTGGAGTTTACACAAGGAAGACAACAAAGCTTGTCCTGATTGGATCAAATCACAGGTTTGACTTTCTTTTTAAACACAATTTTCTCAATGCAAAAATGAAAGTTTGAAAGACTGAATTGCACTGTTCCCCTTATCCTTTTTGAGATAACTATTTGGTGTCCTGTCTTGTAGAAGTGTTTGATATTTTGTGTCTAACAGAGCTGTGTGTCTGACAGTGACAGTTCTGTGTTTCTCAGCTCAAATAATATTTTTCTTCTCCTGTTTGAAACAGCTTGCCATTTTTGAAGTTTGCCACCAATGAAGCCATTCAAAGAACAGAAGCCTATGAGTATGCACAGTCACTGGGAAGTCAGCCTGGCTGCTTGCCCAATTTCCAGGTGAGGAGCTGTTCCTGTTTTGATTTGGTTTTCTCTTTTGGCAGATGTTATGCTTTTGATCTCTCAAGTGCTGTAGTCAGTGGGGCAAATATTTTCTCTGTTACAACATGAAATGTTCATGGATAATAATGCCATATAGCTGTTTTCCTGTAGTCATTTCATTTTCATTTTTTCATCTCTACATCCTGAACTTCTGAATTTTAAATATAAATTGTAATTCTGTACTCCAGAAGAAAAATCCAGCAGAATTTGCTGGCACTAGCTGTAGGTAAATAGACAACTTCCACTGGATGCATTAAGTGGAAGAAATTAATTGAATGCTTTTTCCTTTAATTTTGGATGTGATGATGAAATCTCTGAGCTTTCAGCTGAAATGTCAGATTGCCTTTCATTTGTTGCCACCCAGAGTGTTGTGATCACTGATTTTATTTGTGCTGTTGCCTCCCCAGGTTTTCAAGTTCATCTATGCCTGTCGGCTGGCTGAGATGGGCCTTGCTGCCCAGGCTTTCCACTACTGTGAGGTGATTTCCAGAACTGTCCTCAAAGATCCACATTACTATTCCCCTGTGCTGATTGGCCAGCTAATCCAGGTAACACGAGGAAGAATGAAGTGTTTGTGGCTGGATGTTGTAGGTGGGAAGCTGTGGCTGATGAACTCTCACTTTGCAATGGTTCCTTTCCTCAGATGTCCTCCCAGCTGCGCCTGTTTGACCCTCAGATCAAAGAAAAACCAGAACAGGAATCTTTTATTGAACCCCCCTGGTTAGTGACACTTCGACATGTGGATGGACAGATCAAGGTATGGTGTGTGCTTTTCAGCATGAATTATTCCCTGCAAAGTGTAAATCCAATTTTTAAAATGGTTTTGTTTACACTACTAATCACAGAAACATGGGAAGTGACCTTATATATTCATATCCTAAATGGCAAATGTTATGGTGTAAACCAAGTGAATTTACCACACTTCAGTGCCCAGAGATTCAATACAGAATAATTAAAGTTATGAGAGACAGGCTTTTTTTAATACCATAATGCAAGGAGGACTGCAGGACTCATTAGGCTGCAGTAATCAGGGGATCTGCTTGCCATAAAAATATCTTGTGCATGGATTTTTGTTGCTAGATTATAACAGTGGAAATAACGATTGTCTATTTAAAGAGATGTGTTAGAAATTGAAACCCAGAGCTAATTAACTGTGTCTCAATTTAAAAACAAATAAACCCTTCAGATTATTGGTTGATCTTGGCTTATAAATGGTTGACAACTTGTTTTTCTTTGAACACTAAAAACCTTTTCACACCTAAGATTTCCTTTGCTTTGTGATCCCTTGGTTATGAGGATTGTCTGGTAGAGATGAGTTAATAATATCTTGTTTTTTCCTGCAGGAGGGTGCAATAGCCTATAACACAGACAGATCCACCCCCCCTCCCTATGAGTGCAGCACTCCCAGCTCTGAGCTGGACCGTGGCAGTCAGTGTGAGGGGGGAGGAGGCCGTGACGTGGGGCCAGGTGCTGAAAATCCCTTGCTGGCATCCTTGTTACCCAATATGGCTCAACAGATGCAGAGCGTGCAGCTGATGCCTTCAGGTTGGTGTTTCATGTCCTTTATGACAGAGAGAACACAAAGGGTTTGGGTTTCTGATACAAGAAACCACTTAAGGGATTGGTTGGAGCAGGGAGATTTCACTTCTGCATTGTATCATTCATAGGGTAAAAGGTTCACACTGGAATTTCTGCTTAATTTTAACTGGTTTTTTGGTTTTTTTTCTTCATGCTGCAGTACCTCAGGCTGTCCTTGATGGCTCAGCTGCCATGATTCCTCCTGGTGACCAGGGAAGTGTCCCCTTCTACCCAGTGGCTCCTCAGCCTCTTGGCCCAGGACCTGGCTTTGCACCTCCAGGATTTTCAAATCCATATGGAACTGAACCATCCCCACCCTATTTAGGGACAACATTACCCCCAGGAGGGCCCCCACAAGAAATAGAACCACAGCCAGAAGAGCAGACAAACTTGGAAACAGGTCTGGGATATTAATAAACAGCTTTGCTTCCTTAGAAAGGGAATGAAGTGTTTCAGGGAATAATTCAAAATATCTCAGTATTTAAAAAAATAGTGATGTTTTGGGTAATGAAATTTAAAAACTCCATGTAATGGTACAGAATCATCTGTAGAAAGTTGTAGTATTCATCCTGCTTTGGTGGCCTACTTTAAAAGAGAGCTCAGACTCAGCAAATCATGATTTAGACCTTGGCAGATAATCCCTGAGTGCAGTGAGATTGGCAGTTCTGGTTCCAAGGGATATCAGGGATTTCTGCCTCTGGACATGAGTTTCTAGGACCCTGATAAGTTTTAACTCTGTGACAGCAGAGCCTGACACATTTGGAGAGAAGGAAACTTAAGTTTGGTTAGAGTTTGAGATGTGAGGAACCTTTAACTGCTCCATCCTCGTGGTTGAATCCCTCAGCCTGCTCTGGCCTGTGTTTAGAGCAAACACAAACCCAAATAGGAGAAGAAATTGCAATTGCAGCTCTCATTCTTTAAAAGTCCAGGTTCTCCCTAGAAGAAAACTCATAACTGGTAAAAACTTTTGCCTTAAAACTATTGTGGGGCTTAGGGGCTTTGGTGTTTATTTTGGTTATTTTGTTGGTGTGTCCCTGCTAACATAATCTAATTTTTTTTTAAGGAATGCAGAGAATTGCCCCAGAGTCTCCTTCACAAAACTCCTTCCCTGAGCAGAGAGAGGATGATTTCTATGGCAGGATGGCCAACATGGTATTGTTATTTCACACATTTCTTCAGCTGCATTACAGCACAGTGCAAACATGAGGATTTGGGGGTTCTGTATTGCTCTTCAGCAAGACTTGAAGCTTGGTTTTTAGAAGTCCCCAAAGAACCAGATTAAATGTCTTTGTGTGGAAAATCTTGATAAAAAATTAATGCTGTGTCAGATATTTATCTGCTTGTTTATTATGCATTGATGTCCTGGCTTTATATCCAACCAGGCAGCAGGACCAAGATCCATCTTAAGGTTTATTTTGTATGAACTTTTAGATCTGTTCTGTTTATGGATTTTTCAAAGAAGGGTTGTTTTTAGCAAGGTGGAATGTGATCCATCACTGCAGCAGTGACAACTTTTGCTTTCCTGTGTTTTTGTCACCCAGGGCTATGGGCGAAGGTCCCGCACAACCTCAGAGTCCTCTGCTCATTCTGTGGGACGAGAGAGATCTAACTCTGCAGCCAAGCAACCCTCTCCTCCTCCCTCTGCTCCTGCAGGGAAAGACACTAAAAAAGAAACAAAAAAGGAGGCAGCACCCAGAAAGGTAAACTTTCTTAGGAAGGTCCCTACAGCCGGAGGAGATTTGTCAGTAAATGTGGAAACTCCTGGTTTACTGTAGTTAAGAAATCCTGACTAAACTGTTTCTACTTATTAGTTGCAACTCTGGGCTCAGAGTTGAAGTCCCTGACAGAAAATGTGTTGTTGCATGAAAGTTTGTTTTAAGTTGCCTGTAAAGTGAGACAAGAATTAACTGAGAGGGAGAGAATTAACTGAGAAGATTTGATTTGTTTTTAGACTGGTGGAACCTGGTTTCGCTGGCTGATGGGAAAAGGAAAGAATGAGGCTCACCTGCCAGATGACAAGAATAAATCAGTAAGCCCCTAAGAATCACAAAGACCTTTATATACTTGAATTTGTTCCTAATGTTCACCTGGATAACAGATGAACATTGTTTTGATGAGTAACAGATGATTGTAAAACTTTGAAGATGATTCTTATTCTAAGACCAGCTTAAAAAAAAAGTTACAGTTATTTTAGACTTTTTTAGCAGCATTCTTTGAGCTCTTTGTTTTTGACTGTGATTTTCTTCTAGATTGTTTGGGATGAGCAGAAACAGCGTTGGGTTAATCTGGATGAACCAGAAGAGGAGGTAAAAATCTGAGTTCTCATTATTTCTCCAAGTGGAAAAGAAGAATCTGTACTTGGCACACAATTTTTTTTAGTCTATGACTGTCCGTTAAGAGCTGCTTTTTACTGAATTTGGATTAAAATGTGCTACATCAGACAATGATGTGATTGGATTTTTTTTTGTCTCCTTGCAGAGTAAACCTCCTCCCCCCCCTCCAACAGGATTTCCTAAAGCTGCTCAGGCTGCTCCCCCTGGGCCTGGAGGCCCACCTGGTGCTTCTGTCAATGTGTTCTCCAGGAGAGCAGGTAACAGCCAGCACTGATATTTGAGGACTTTCTCCTGCATAAAACATGAAGGCAGAGGTTCTGACTTTCCCTGCCTTGTTTGGGAGCGTTGGCAGCTCACTGGAGCTGTGGCTGTTGCTGGCTTTGCTCATGCCCAGCTCCTGCACTGCTGTCACACTACCATGGCTTGGGTGTTGCTGTTTGTACCCCTGGGGTGTTATTTCCTGATCCTGAAGGATGCTTTAACCAGCCAGCTGTTCAAAGTAGACACAGGCATAACAAACATAAGGGTTCTTTCTGGTTTTCTGTTTTTAGCTGGAAGCAGAGCCCGTTATGTGGATGTCCTGAATCCAGGAGGAACCAAGGCAAGTGGGGCTGTTCCTGCACCATCAGACCTGTTTGCCCCCCTGGCACCCATGCCCATTCCTGCCAACGTGTTTGTTCCAAACTCAGGTGTGTGCATAGGATTGTGGGGAGGTTTTATGGCTGTTTATGGGCTGTGTTTGGCTAAATCCCATTTCCTCTGTAGTTCCAGGGGAATCCCAGCCCATGGAGGGGAGTGGAGCAGCAGAGCACACAGCAGCTGCAAACCAAACCAACACAGACCCTGCTGCAGCTGTGGAACCAGAGGTGGGTTCCAAGGGATGTCTTGTAGGCAGAACCCACATTTTCTGATTCAAACCCCTTCAGGATTCTGAGCAACAGTTTGACAGCCACAGTCTATAAAGCATGACGTTTGTGGGGTTTGTGGTTAAATGTTTTACTTAAAGAGCAGGAGGAGAGAAATACAAGTGAAAATGGAAGTGGGAGGTTGCATTTCCCAATTTGACAGGACTGCAGCTTCCATGGGTGCAGGAAAGGGACTGAGGACATGGGAAGAGTCCTGCACTGCAGGTTACAAATCCCTGATGTGCTGTAACATTGTTCTGCCCCTGTGGGATCTCTAAGGGAAATGTGGAATAGCCTCACAGTAATGATGATAAACAGAAGTGCTTTGTTTTCCTTCAGTACTTAAACCCTGCAGCCCTTCCTCCTGGATCTGGACTTCCTGTTCCTAACCCTGATGGCTCCCAGTCAGGCGAGGTAAGGCTTGATGCAAAATATTTCATTAATGACTTTTTACAGTTAATTGTAGTGGTCTTACAATGGGCCATTTAAAACAGCCAGTAACTGATTCAGTTGGTGATAAGTAGGCAAGATGTGATGTGGCTGTGTCCAGAATTGTACAGAAAAGACCTCTAAGCCCATATGAGAAGTTCAGCCTCCATGCCCTACATTCTGTGATCTCCTTTTCCTATAGAAATACTTTTAAAAGCCTTTTTCAGAGTGAAATGTCAGTAGCAGTTAAAGGGTCTCTTCTTGCCTCCATGCATGCATATAATGTCACTAATATTAAATGCAAGACAAGGAGAGCAAGTGCTGTGTGCCAGGCAGAGTAACATGACCTTTGTTCCTACTAAATGTTTTCTATACCTACATAATTTTGTGCTTTAAGGAGTCCTTTTGATTTAAACTAACTTCTGGCTTTACGTTTGTTTTTGTTTTTTGTTTTTTTTAACTTGAAGTTGGTTTAACCTTTGGCAGTGAGACTTTGACAATGAAATAAAACAACTGAAAGCTTGGGGCAGTGACATGCATGACGACTTTTTTTATTTGTGTTTTTTTGTATTTGTGTGTTCTTGCTGTTTTGTAGCTTTCGCGCTCTAGTTCAATGAGTTCATTATCACGTGAAGTAAGCCAGCATTTTAATCAGGTACATGTGGCTGGCCATTCTCATTTATGTTAACTTATTTACTTTCCCCTCTCCCCTCTTTATTTTGCATTTGCTCAAATACTAATGCTACTTTTAGTCATTTCCCCCTCATTTCACAGAGTTGTCATTAAAAGTAGATCATGATGTAGTGTTCCTTTTCACACTCAAACAGGGTCTTTAGTTTTGTGTATTTATGGGGAGTGCATGTAGTCCAGGCATGCTTTTTATTTATGTTCCTAAGAGATTCACATAATTTCATCATCTTATTTCTGGGATACTAAAGAAATCAGTTGATTTTAAACAAAAAAACCAAAACATCCTCCAACAAAACCAAACCAACCTCCTAAAAAGTCTCAATACAAGCAAAACTTGGTCATTCTGCTGCTGCCAGTCTCAAACTGGTAAAAAAAACACTTGCAAAAGTCCCTGTAGGAATTAAAGGAATGCTTCATCTCTGCTGGAAGTTCCAGAGCTGTGGGGTCACCACGAAGGGGTGACACAAACCTTTCTGATATTTCTTAATAAAGCAAAACCTGACATAGAATGTTTATTTTGGGGCAAGTCCTGAGGTGTGTACTAACAAAGGCAGAAGGTACTAATTGAGTGGAGTTGCACTGGTGTCTTGTGTTGGTTTTGCATGCTTTGGACCTGCAGAGCTCTTTGCAGTTGGTGCATGTGCCACTGTTTGGCCAATTCCTACATTAAGCCAGCCCTGTTGTAGATCTGGATGCAAACTGTACCAGCACTCTGGAGTTGTTCAATAGGCTGCGCTCTCCATGTTGTTGGCATTATTCCTGTGAATATTTGCTCTGTATAACTTAGCAGACCACATTTGAGAGGCACTGGAGTTCCTCTCAGCCCTTGTCTAATTTCAGTGTTTTCTCTTCCCAGCCTGCTGCTGTTCCACCCTCGGGGGCACCTTCAGCAGGGGCAGTACCGTTCTACAACCCCTCTCAATTTGCACAAGTGAGTGAAGGTCTCATCCTTCCTTTTTCTTATCCTTCTTATCCAGCATTTCCCAGAGAAGTGGCTGCTCCTGGATCCCTGGAAGGGTCCAAGGCCAGGCTGGGCAGGGTTTGGAGCAGTCTGGGACAGCAGAAGGTGTCCCTGCCCATGGCAGGGGATGGAATGTGGTGGGCTTTAATGTCCCTTCTGACCCAAACCATTCTGATTCTATGCTTTGAACAAAACATGATTTTGTGCTTTATCAGCTTAATCTGGGTTGTTGCACACAGAGTGTTAAATGTGCACAAAGATCAGTCTGGCACCAGTTTTCAATTTAACAAGTTCCTATTCCAAACTTTATTCCAGATTTCTTGAATTTTTGTCTCCAACATGACCCTTTTACAGAGCACTTTGTTTATCCCTGTTCTTTTTTCAGTCTCCTGCAGCCACTGGAAGTTCAAGACTGGGAAGAATTGGACAGAGGAAGTATCCAACATTGAAGTAGAATACAATGGCTTTGTATTTGGAGTCCTTACTCATGTTCTGAGTATGCACAGAACTCTTCAGCCTTATGGCACATGCTATCAGCTGCAGTTGACAGGACAAAAATCTGATGATGGGTGATCTTTTTCATGCTTGCACCTCATCTACGCAAACCATTACCAAACATGAAATATATGTAACTTTTCCTTTTCAAAACCTGGCTAGAAATAGCTTTGCTGTGATAAAGAATAGGCACAAGAGAGGAAATAGTTGCTGTCTGTTACAAAACCTGTTTGTAAATTGCATAGGCAATTTATTCCTTCAATTTATTTTAAACCTTACTAGCGTGACCTTCCGAGACATAGTTTCAGGGATTCCTTAATTTCTGAAGGATGCTTCCCTCCCAGCAGGGGTAAAAAACAAACATGTCCACATTGTAAGATAACACTGTGGCCTTAAGAGGACCATGCACAATCAGCCAGAGTGTGGAACCAGAGGGGTTCCCCTGGGAGAGGCTCACCCAGGAGCTGCCTCCTGCTGCTTTGGCTTTTGGGAGGAGGGAGGGGGCCGCAGCTCATCCAAATAAATCGACTTCTATTGAATGAAAACTGTGACTGTAATCTAATCCATGATTTGATTTGGATCTTTCCTAGTCTGTATGTAGTTTGTGGTTTAGACTACCTGTAAAGCCAAGTGTATAGTGGGAAGGAGCTCTGTATCATAGCCAACGCTGTTCTCTTGACGAGTGAGTGTTTGTTTAAGTGCAATACGGTTACTTTGCTTTCTCTCAAACTGCTGGCACTCTGCAGCTGGGGGGTAACAGCTTGAAAGTTGTTTATTTTTTCCTTTTGGGAGTGCCAGAATCAGTGTAATAATCCGTTCTTGAATCTCCCTTACTAAAATAACCAAGGTCTTAAATAGCTAACTGCTAAATTTCATACTAAAAGTAGATGGATTAGACCTCTACAGATGGACTTCAAAATCTTTAGGTTTAATATAGGAAATCTTGAAAACCATGGTATGCAGCATTTATATTCACTGAAGAATCTGAGTTATCTGCAAAGAGAGAAATAAACTTTAAATATTTATTAAATCATTAGGCCATATTTTATTTAGAACTTGCCACCAAACTATTTGATTTTACTTGAATTTCTGCCCGGAGTAGAAGTAATACGAATGTGAAATTGCCAGTATTTGTCCCCAGTTGTTTTTTGTTTTTGTTTTTTCTTTTTCTTTTCCTGAATAACACCACTTTTCTAAGACTGTGCTAGCCTTATCTATGTCCCAAAAAGTTTGTATGCAGCCCAAGTAAAACACTATTTGGGAGGATTAGAAACCTTTGTGTGCTGTTCCATTCTCAATTCCCGACATGGTCAGCAGCAGTCAGTGTGGTTTACTTTTCTATAATTGAAACCTAATCAGACACTTGGCTTTCCTCTAGTCCAGCCAGGCTGCTGATTATTTTCTCCTTTCAGTAGAGACTGCCAAACAACTTCATTCAAGGAGGCTCCCCCTGAGCTGGGAGCGGCTGTCTTTCCTAAGTGTAAGATTTGACACTGTAAATTCTTAAATAAAATATTTTGCGCTCTGGAGCACTTTCACATTTCACTTTCTTCTTGTGGTTATTGCTTTAATGAGGTGGGTGAAGGAACCTTTCCTGTTTTTCTGGGAATGATCTGTGTGAGGAAAGTGAAGTTTTTGGTGTTTGAAACAGCTTCATCAGAGCAGGTTTAGGTGCAATATTAGGAAGAAATCCTTCCCCATGAAGGTGAAGAGGCTCTGGCATAGTTGCTGAGGGAAGCTGTGTCTGTCCCAGCCCTGGAAGTGTCCAGGGTCAGGCTGGGCAGGGCTCGGAGCCTATGGAAGGTGTCTGTATCCATAGCAGAGGCTGCAAAATGGGTGATCCTCAATGTCCCTACCACCCCCAGTGATCAGTGTTTGTACTGAAACAAAATTGTTCAAAATTGACGCTTTAGCCTTCATATAGACAACTTTTAAATTTCTTCAAGTGCAACACGTTTATTTTTAAGCTGTTTTTTAAACGCCTCCTCCCTCCCGTGTCGCGACAGCCGCGACTCCCCGCGGGCACTGCCGGGCGCTCCTCCGGCCGCCAGGGGGCGCTGCGGGCGGGGCGGGCCCAGCGCTGCCCGCGTTGCCACGGCCGGGCCGGGGCGGCCGCCGCGGGACCGACACCGACACCGGCGCCGAAACGGGCACCGGCAGCGACGCTGCGACCACGCAGACCGGCGGGGAGCCTGAGGAACCCGTAAGGCCCGGCCTGCAGCGGCGGGGAAGGGGCGGCCCCGGCGGGCGGGGGGCGCGGCCGTTGTGAGGGCTGGGGGCCTCCCGCCCGCCCGGCCGGGGGATGCGGGCGGCGGCCCCTCAGTGCCGAACCCCAGCTCGGGGCTGCGGTCACCGCGTGTTGCCCTCCCGGGGCCGGGGAAGGCTGGTCGGCGGGAGCCGCAGAATGACGAGGTGCTTCCCCCGTGGAGAAATGCGCTCGGAGCCCGGTCCCGTATCCCAAAGTCACCCCCGGGGCATTTTCTCGTTGAGCGGGGTTGGTGCAAGGCAGGGAAAGGCGGCGGCGATTTCCCCGTGCCTGTGGGATCGCTGGAAATTTCCTGGCCTCGGGCTGCGGGCTGGTCGTGCTGGTGACGCCTGTGTACAGCAAGGACAACGAGCTGTGGTTTCTCTGCAGCTTAAATTCCCTCCCGTGCTAACAGAGCACGCTGCCTTTCCTTGAAGAAGGGTGTACACAGCCGTGCAGGAGGTCTCTGCTCTGCTTCTGGGGTAAAAACCGGGAAAGAACAGTGATTTTCTAACAAGGTCATGTTAAGGTGTGAGTTGTGCTAGAGGGAGGTGCTGTAAGGAGATGCTTTCTGATCGGGGAGTAATTTGCAGCTCAATAACTTTTCATTCTTTCATCTTTCTCCTGGGGGAATCCAGGTACCCCAAGACTTGGAATTTTGCAGACAATGCCTCTGCCTGCGCATTCACCTGCCCTTCATTCCCAGCTAAACGCTGAGCTATCTGCCATTCCCATGCCTTGCTGGCCGAGTAAAGCCCTGTGAAACCCACAGGGTGATAAAGGGAAGGAAACTATGCTTTGAGGAACTTTCCATCTGGAACAGCTGGTACCTGGGGCACAATGAGTACCCCAAATGGGTTTCCGCAGCACTCAAGGGTGTGTCTTACCCGGAGCATGGAGGGTGGAGCGGTACAGGACCTGCAGGCAAAAAAAGCTGGAAAAGCAGCCAAAAAGGAGGCTGGGGGTGATGGGGCACCTCCGAAAATAGGCACGCCCATAAGTGAGACCTTTAAACTGCCAGAAGACCTCAAAGCTAATATCAAAATGAAATCGATCACTCCAAGGCCCCCTCGGAAGCCCCGGCTGGAACGTGCTGCATCCCTGGATGAGAAGAGCTGGAGGAAGTGGAGACGCTTTCGGACAAGCCAGGAAAGTCTGACCGATCCCAACGAGACGAGCTCCTCGAACGGTTCCCTGCAGGAAGCGTCGCCCAGCCCTCCCAGCAGGGGCAGGGCCAGCCCCTGCAATCCCTGCGGCCAGCAGGAATCCTTGCACAGCTCACCAGACGCCTTGGAAGCCAGCCCCGGGGGCAAGAGCAGGGGAGGCGCCTCGGACCTGGGCAAACGCGCCTCCGAGATCTCCAGTGCCTTTGGGGGGCTCCTGCGGGGCAAGGGCTTCGCCGGGGGCAAACCCCGGCTCTCCCAAATCATGCCGGCCCGCCCCCTGCCCCCCATGGAGCTCAACGTGGCCTCGCACTCGCTGAGGACAGCTAATAGGATCGACTCGGATTGCCTGGATTACCGGCTTTACTCTCAGCACAAGTTCGGCAGGGTGAGCAGCAGCCTCAGCGACTCCCGGCTGCAGGGCAATGGGACTCTCTGTGACAGCTGCTCCACGGACTCCATGAAATCCACCTTCAGCGTGCTCACCCCCATCCGAGCCAAGGATGTGCGCAGCAGGTAGGGCTCCCCCAGGTTCTCCTGCTTTTGGGGTGTCGGCAGGGAGGAGAATCCCTCTGGGCAGGGAGCTTGTGAGCTCAAAAGCCACTCTGTGTTATTTAACCTGCTGTGGAGAGAGCTGGAAAATGAAGAGATCAGTAAAAATACTCTTTGTTTGCTCCTTTTAGCTGAGTATTTTCATAAATACATATGAGTATTTTCATAGATTTTATATAAATATAAATATATATTTATATATATATAATATAAATATACTTAATATATTAATATATTAATATATTAAGTATATTTATATAAATATAAATATATAAATATACTTAATATATTAATATTATATATATTATATTTATATTATAATATTATTTATATTATATATTTTTCTTATTAATATATTTATATTTATAATTAAATATCTATAATTAAAATATAAATATTTGTGTATTATTCTCATAGATATATAATATAATATTCTCATAAATATATAAATATTAACTATTTTTATATTCTATAAAATATATATTTAAATAATATATTTTGTATTGTATAAACGTATATTTTTATATTATATATAAATATATACATATTATATGTTTATATAATATGTATATTATATTTATAGAAATATATTTATATTATATTTCTTCTTATAAATACATATGAGTCTGGTTTGCTGTCAGTTTGCTTGTAATATTAACATAATCTGGTTTGAGAATTAAGAAGTGGTGGCTGGGCATGCCAGCAGTTGGGAAAACTGTTTTTTCAGAAAAATCTAAAAGTACATTAGACTTGAACTAAAATGATAAATTCCAGGAAAAAAAATAGCACCAGATATTTTAAACTGAGATTGTCATGCAGCATTATCACAGTCCTGTGAGGTGCTGAGCAGAGGTTGCACTTGTTTGGTTTCTGGCAGGAACAAATTTATGTGTATTATACTCCAGTATCCCACAGGAGCTCCTCTGCAGGAGGGAAAAACCTAATCATTGATCCAGAGCGTGGGAGTCAGTAGTAGAGGGGAAAGAATTCTGAGATAAATTAAAGTGTTACTAGCTGGTAAAAAAGCCCCAAAGATAGATTGTTACTTGTTTGCCACCAGGGTTTTCTTTCCCATTCCTCCTTAAAGCACCTGGAGCCGGCTGGGGTGCCCAGAACTCCCTGACATTATTCTCTCATCATTATTTGCAGAGCTTAAGCAAGATTAAAAATGCTTATTCAACATGCAGTCCCTGTGCCAGCATCCCTCACCTCTGTCCTTCAGAGAGGCAAGTGCTGTGGGATGCACCTGCCCTTCCCAGAGGGGATATTTTGGGACCTCAGGCTCAATAAATTATTTTCTGGAAGCTGATTTGATGAGCTGAATTGAAGGATGTGAGTTTGAGTTTTTTGTTGGGAGAAACCTGATGCCAGAACACTGGGAATGGTGGAGCTGTTTTTATGTTTGAAGTAAACTGAGCTGCTTCGGGGTACTCAAATTTAATGGAATCACAGAATGGTTTGGGTGGAAGGGACCTCAATGCTCATCCAGTGTCACCCCTGCCATGGCAAGGACACTTTCCACTGTCCCAGGGTGCTCCAAGACCTGTCCAGCCTGGCCTTGGACATTTCCAGGGGTCCAGGGGCAGCCACAGCTGCTCTGGACACCCTGAGGTTATCAAACCAATTTCTTTGTTCTGTGTCTGGATGAGTTTAGTGGGGCTGAAGACTTTAGATGGCTTCAGCCTTCTCATCACAGAGCTTGAGCAGCATCAGCCTCACCATCACCCTCGTGTCCTGGCTTTGGAAGGAACTTCAGACAAGCAGAACAGTTTATAAATATTCAATTCCTTCTTAAAGGTATATTCTTGATTACGTCAAGATTCAAACATTTTCACATCAATATCCCAGCTGCCATGCCCTTTCCTTAGATGCTCGTTTTTGGGTCTTCTGTCCACAGGAGCTATTTGGAAGGCAGCCTTCTGGCAAGTGGTGCCTTAATGGGAGCAGAAGAACTCAGCAGATATTTCCCTAATCGGAGTATGGGAATCTTTGTGGCCACCTGGAACATGCAGGGCCAGAAGGTAAGTGCACAGAACTCTGCACAGGTCCTTTGGTAGTGAAGTTACCCCTGCTCTGCTGAGAGGACTGGGGTGATGTTTTTCTGTTCAGGAATATGTTCCTTGTCAATCATCTTTGTCAAATTACAAGGTATTTTTCTAGTAAATACTTGTATAACTAATATACTTCTTTTATTTTCTTCCCTTTTGTTTTAAATTTCTTGTATAATAGGAACTTCCAGTGAATCTGGATGACTTCTTATTGCCAACAGATCCAGACTTTGCCCAGGACATGTATGTCATTGGGGTTCAAGAAGGCTGTCCAGACAGGTAGCAAAAACAATGTAATGAACCATCTTCTTTTATTGTTAACTAATCATTTTGCTTTGAATTAGACTAGAAATAGTCTCCATTGTATTCCTAATATTTTCAAAAATAAGACTGAATTCCATTGTATGAGCACCAGAGGAAATGGGATGTGGAGGAGATCTGTAAATCATAAAATCCCTGACTGGTTTGGGTTGGAAAGGACATTAAGGCTGACCCAGTGCCAGCCCCTGCCATGGGCAGGGACACCTTGCACTAGAC